GAAAATACTCTCGTAGAAAAAAGGTTAATTTATGGCAAATTATGGGCGCCGAATCAATTCATGGTGTTCGGGATTAATTATTTATAACAAATTTTAAAGAAATTAGAAACTTCAAATTATTATTGTAGTTTTGTATTTTCTGGTAGTGAGGTTGTTCGGAGCAATTTTTAAACGATCACCATTTGAAAAGTAAATGAAAGTGAATCCGCAAATTATCCGTTTCATTGAAGTGCACTTTGGTAAACCACATTTTTTGTTTTTTGGTCTGACGTTAACACAAACAAAGCGGATGGTTTTCCAACTCGTGAACAGGCAACGTATAACTGCAGTTATACGTTATAAACGGAAGACCAGTCGGAATCATTGGTATGTCACCAAATCGCCAGCAATTTTTGATTGAATGGTGAAATTCAGTGCGTGTACATCATTATTCTTTGCGGCAAGAATTGCTCGTTGACCTAACCAAGCATAATTCTCACTAATGTCATTACTCGAATTTTTAATTACGGTGCGTTAAGTTGCAGCAGCTTGCATTAAGGCACGATGCCATGCACAACTAATTTTCTAAGCTATAAACCTTGCGGAGCCCGAGACCTTTCCAACGAATGCAAAATTGTCGAAATCGGTTCGTGCGTTCTGGAGTTATTTCGTCAGGAAGGAAAACCCGACTTATTTTTATATATATATATATAGAGATATATATATTATAATATATATATAAATATATATATATATATATATATAAATTGTCACATGAATTTTGATTTCATATTGATTATGTATTAATATTGATTATGTATTAATATAGATAAGGCTTCGAGACAAAAATATGCTTCAAATAAACTTTGTTAGCCAATAACTAAAATACTTTTTGAAGTTTAGATTAAGGTCGTAAGAATTAAAAAAAAAGTTTATTTCATATTTTCATTGGTTCAACTATTCAAAAATATGTGTGCAAGAGATTTTAAAAATTTTAATTATTTTCTGAGATGTTTGACTGTGATAAACCTCTTTTGTTTTTTTCCTCGAAACTGTCTATTTCTCAACTTCTACTGATCGATTTACTTGGAACTTGTGCAGTCTTACCTCTCTTCAGTATGGACTACGATCACCAAAAAATTCTGATATTTAATATTTTTTAAAAATTCGAAAATTGCAAAAAAAATTTTTTTGGACTTGCCCGTAGTTCACGCAATAGCGACATAATTCTAGATCTAGATTATTATTAATAATAATATCATATACACACTATATATAAATAATATAAATATATATATATATATATATATATATAGATATATATATATATTTGAGTTAAAAATTGGGCGTTACATCAAGACATCTTAGCCTTCATTCAGTGGCAATTTAACTATACAAATTAAAACTAAAACTTAAACTTAACTATAAAAATTGAAACTAAACTATAGCTTTAATTTTTATAGTTAAATTGATTGCCACTGAATGAAGGCTAAAATGCTAGCCGAAACATATGGATTTTAAATAAATTTCTAAAACCTCTCATATTATTTTTATTGTCGTTGAAATTTTTTTATGTTGATAGACACCCAACATCCTAAAGAACATAAAATTTTACGGCCCTTTTTTTTAAAAAAAAAATTTATGAATGTTTGAAAAAAAAATTATATATATTATGTCTGTTAATAAAACTTTTAAGGTGACCAAAACCTAGAACATTAAAAATAAATTAACTAAAATAAAGCAAATTATTGCAAATAACTGTAAATATAAGCAAATTGTAAAATATATTTTTATTTACATTTATTGTTAATTTTCTCAAACTACAACATTTTTTTATTGTGTTTCTTTAAATTTGCAACACAATTGATTTTTTTTTCAATTGGTTCATTCATTATTTTTTCACAATAATCTCCAAATTCACTATCCACAAAGATATGCTGGCCAATATATTTACTAGGTTTTGCATTCTTTTTTGGTGGTGGAACAGGTGGATTAAAACACATTTGGCTGCCATCAAATTCCTTTAACAATTGTTCTGGGGACCTGAAAGCAAAAAAAAATATATTTTTTTGTACATTCATTAAATGAAAACATTTCTTAGAAGCCTTACAGTTTTCCTAGATCTGGTGCAAGACTGCCTTCACCAGTTGCTGGAACATTAGAAGCAATATTAACGGCCATCTGAAAAAAAGATAAAATAATGTACATTATACAACAAAAAAATGTTTTTAATATGTGCATAAAATATTATTGAAATATATCTAAATATACCTTCCTAACTATTGGGTGAAAATGTCTACTAGCAATAGATAGTTCATATAATGCCGTGCTACTTGCATTACAAAATTCAGGTTCATCTAGATACGGATCATACTTTCCAGTACCTAACGTATTATCTGTGTCCAATAGCAAATCTGAATTTTTGCCCTGAAAAATAAATATAATAATATAAAATTTTCAGCTTCTATATACATGCTAGAATTCCAAATCCCAAAACAGATAATTACTTTACCTGTTGCATCACAGTTCTTATAACACCAAGTAATGATATGGTTCCATTATGTAATTGATGTAATGAAAGTTGCATACATCTCTTCAAAATGCAAGGAGTCTTTGTTGGGATAGTTGTTTTCGTCTTCTAATCAAAACATGACATAATGTCTTAACAGCAGTTTCTAAATCAATATTTGTTCGACCTAAAATATAAATTCAATAATATTAACTTATTTTAAAATATTGCATTATCTATAATACTAAACTGTAAATAATATATTTGATAATTCTCATTAATAAAACACTTAGAATTTAAACAAAACAATAATGATTGGAATTACTGCAAAATGATAGACATATTTAAATAAGAATATTTTCAGATGAAACAACTATAGTAAAAAGATGTTTGACTAATTGCAGTTATGTTTTAAATATTATCAAAATTAGCACTAAAGCAATATCTACTTGTTTATCGTTCTTCAATAAATACCAACCTGCATTAATGTGCATTAAGTTTCTGTACAAATGTGTATAAAATCTCAAAGGATCTATATTCAAACACTCTCCTTGCCCTGACAATACAGAAAATACAGTTTGCACACACATCAGTTGATCTCTGTGATTCAACACTCTTTTTTCATCATCATCATCATCACCTGGTTGCATTAATGAATTCAATACATCAACTAAATCTGAGTATAATTCCAGATTTATTACATGGGAAAATCTGAAAATATTAATTGATAATTAATACACTTGCATAAAAAACATTTATTATTCACATTCAAGACATTAAGTATAGATACTGTCATTCAACAGTTCAAACCAGAAAAAAAACTGTATTAATAATAAAGACAAAAAATTAAAATATTTTTTTAAAACAGATATTTCCAAAATTTAAAAAATGTAAATGAATAAACTTACTTTGATAATCCTTCTAATGCCACACTCAAAACTTTTGAATTTGGGGCCCTCTTCAAAATTCTAAAGTATATAGTAAATAACACTTTGGTTATTTCCGTCATTTGTTTTTGCTTTGCTTGCTTATTCTCTTCAGCTTTTGTTTCTAACATTTCCTTCTCCAGCTCTTCTAACTTCTTATTACGTTTTCTTTCACGCTTGGAGAGTTTTAATAACTTTTGTTTTCTAGTCATAAATTCTTTTGGCGTATTTCTTCTTCTTTTTCTTCTTCTTAGCATCTAAATTGACATCTTGAATTCGTAATGCTAATAAACAAGCTAAAGCATCTGTGTATACATCATGAGACTGTGCTTTCAAAAGATGGTTATTGCACGAACTATCTAAATATTGAGAAAATAATATACATAAAACAAAGAATATATATATAGAAGTATTTTGAAATAAAACACCACCATAATGAGATCATATGTGACTCATGACAATGGTGTTTTAATGTTATCAAACTTACTACTAAAGAAATATCTCCTCGTTTATCATTCTTAAATATTGTTTTGCAACAATTACATATCATAGCTCTAATATTTTCCAGATTATGATTCAAAAAAGGTACTAACATCTTTGCAATGTTTTGTGAAAAGTTAAAATAGGGATGTGACTCTAATAATGAACACATGCAGCGAATAGCAATTTCAGCCAACTTTTTATCAGAATCGGTTAGTTTTTTTCCTAGCTTTTTTTTAATGGAGCAGTCATTTTTTCAAGTTTTTGCAAGTATTTTTTATAGTAATTTAGCAGAGTTGTTTCATAACTTTGTAATTGCAATGTATCCTTTTTTTAACTTGATACCAGTATTTTCTTGATGTTTTATTTGGTATTCTGGCAATATGTCCCGGAACACCTCAAATATGGAAACTGCTGCCAATTTTCTTATCTAAAACATAATATTTATTAACAATAAGTTTAATAATTCAAATAATAATAATTTTTCATCATCATTATTTATAAATTATAATAAAATCCTTCAATTTAATTAATATATGTCTACTAAATATTTTCAAAAACTTACAGTGAACAGATTAGTAGTCCCATTCTTTGAGTCATCCAACAAATACAAAAGTTCATTAAAATGTTTCACTTTTTTTCAGGACTTTCTAATAATCCTGAACAAAAGACTCCTATTCGAAATTTCTGTTTTTGTAGTTCTGCTTGTCGTTTTGCAAATAATTCTGCAACAGAGACTGGTTTTGTAGGATCTATTTCATTGTCATCTTCCAGTACAAAAATATCATCATCGTCTGAATCGTCATCATCTTTGCGAGTTTGCATGTTATGATCAATATTTTCTTTTACTTCTTCATCTTCATCATCTGGTATTTCTTCATCAACGCTACGCATAATCAAACCTGAAATAAATATTCTATTACAATTTGCGATAGATAAAAGTTTAATGCTTTCACTACCTATGTATTGGCTAGGTTACACTTTATTTGCAACCTTCAGAAAAATAAACTAGTCCTTTCATACTTTTTGATTAACACCCACCTGATTTTGTTTTTATTGGAAGCAATAACTTAGTTCTCTTTGAGTTCTTCTCATCAACATTTTCTTCTTCATACCGAGATTCAATCTCATTATCTTCTCCATCTAAATTTGGTTTCCTCTTACGCTGTTTTATTGGCTCACATTTATCTTTAAACCTGAATGTCGAATTAATATTAAAGAATAATAGAATTCAACTAGATTATAAAATACATCATCCGTTAATATTTTGCAATCTAGATTGCTGACACACAGGACTTCTCAACAACTCCAAAATTATTTTAACCATATATGAGAACTACTTTGCTTTTTAGAAGTTCTGCGCTTATCTTTATAATATAAGTTTTTAGGATTAAAATTCTTCTAGATTTGTTGACTCGTCATATGTGTCAATGAGTCTAAACAAACAATGGAGAAGAAAGCGTTACTACTTGATAAAACAAAATGAACAACTGCAATATGTATTACACTATAGCAGTGTTTTAAAAATGAGACATGTTTATCCGTATTACAAAAATGAATAAACATCCCAAAGTGAATCTTTATTGAGAATTATTGATATTATTTTCTCATTAAAAAAATCTTTAAAAGAAGTATTACAAATATAATTTTAATGCAATATTCTTCGCTAAGAAACGGATCAAATCTAAATACATATAATTACAATACAATGACAGTCATTACCGAATTTTATTAAGCAATGAATAAGAAGTAGATTTCTCAGCAACAGCTTTTTGCAAAAAAGACAAATCATCTTTTTCCACCATCTCGAGCATTCCTTGTCCATGATCACTCTCCTCTGAGTCACTATATACAACATCATTTTTTGGCGGAGGAACCTGATTATTTGTTTTTAATGCGACTTTATTTCGCTTGTTTTTTATCTTTCCTTGTTTAGTAAGTTTATTTTTTTTCTGATTATTTCGCTTGACCTTACTAATTTTATTTTGCTTTTTCTGGAATGATAATATATATGAAAAATAAGAACATTTAAATTTTTAACTGATATATTTAATTAAATATATTAAATTATATACCACTGCCATGATTAGTTACAATCATAAATTATTTATATTTTATTATTAAATGAAACAAACTAATAAGCTATTATTATATTGTCTAGGCTAATAAGTTAAGGTTAGAAAAGACATAACCAAATTCTGAAAACGTGCGTAAACAACCAGGTGATGACGGTCATTGCATCCAACATGCAAACTGAAAAGATAGATGAGACAGGGTTAGTCAACCGATTTGCATAAAAAGCATAAAAATAACTATCATTCAAATACCCTAGACAATATACTAATACCATCTACGATTGCTACAATTATTGATATTGTATTGTATATACTCTTCTTTTATCTATGGCATTGCATATAACGCGTTTAATACCAATAAACGCGATAAAATAGATAAACAAGTATGGGGCCGTTCAAGTATTACGTAAGCACGGGGAATGGGGTATTGATTTGCTTATTTTGCTTAATTTGGGTAAGAACTTTTGCTTACTTTGCTGACATAAGGGGAGAGGGGGGGGGGTAATAATTGTAATAAATCTGCTTACGTAATACTTGAATGGTCCCTATGCGCGCTACATTCTTTTTAAAATGCAAAAGTAATTAATAATTACAAATTAATTAAATTCATACGATTTAATCCAGAAAATAAATTTAAATAATGTTATTTAAAAGAATAGAATATTTCATAAATTAATAGATTCAATAAATTAGTAATAGATATGTATGCAGCCTCAGTACTACTATTATAGAACAGAGATAAAAAAAAACACATACAAAACATATACAAAGGCATATAAATAAAATACTATAGAATATTAAATAATTATTTGTGAAATAATATTTTTGCGTATTGCGTAAATACCTACCCTTAAACATCGCAACATCCTACACACGTTTACGATTTTCGAGAATTTACAAAATAATCGTGTCGCCCATAATAGAAGAATAAACATAGACGTGAAGCAATTGGGTTAGGTTATTCACATCTGGCGACCAACATGCTTTTGACGTATTACCACGAATAGAACTGTCAAATAATCAAGACCAATATTATCAACAAATCTTCAAAATGATGTTAATATAATTGTTTAACCACGTTTATATTATTAAAAATGGCGGAAGAATTAAAAAAATACCTTAATCAGCTGCTCCAGAGGTTGTTCAATATAATGTATTCTTTAAATACACAATCAGAATCTTCATTATCATAATACTTTTCTTACAGGGTTAATGGTTTGTTATGTATTCTCATAACAGATAGGGATGGCGTACCATTATTAAGGGTTGCTTCCGAAAGAGCCCCTGAGCTGTCTATGAGGCCAGGTTTTCTATCAACTTTTGGCATGGCTACAGACCAAGCTAGTAAATTAGGTCTAGGTCGTAATAAAACAGTTATTTGTATGTACTCAAATTATCAGGTAATAATAAGTTATATCATGATACTCTGTTTTATATATACTTGGCCGATTATTTTAACTACATTATTTCTTAGGTGATACAAATGAATAAGCAACCATTAGTTTTGAGTTTTGTAGGAACAGAAAGTTGCAACACAGGTCACGTTTTATCCCTCGAATCTCAAATTGAACCATTTCTGGAAGACTTAAGATTTGTGGTTAAGGATTCTTAATTAAGTATATTTTTAAATATTTATATATTCAATACTAATACATTTATAATGATAAAGAAATAAATTATAAAATATTTATTTGACTTTGAGGGTTATTTTAAATTTAAGTGACTTATGGTTTCATATCATTGGTGCTTAAACTTTTTTAATTTTCATTATATTATTTCCAACAGCAATTAGAATAAACAATTTAATGAGCTTTATATTTAAATTTTTATGTTTTCTTGATTTGTTTTTTCAAAAATATTTAATTTCAATTTATCAAAAATGTTATTAGTAGCATTATAGTTATTATTATAGTTTTAAATTGATGAAATTTTTTATATTGATAAAATAAGTTGGGAGAAAAAAGTAAATACAAATCTGAATTAGGATCTTGAATTTTAAAATAATACAATTAAAATGTTACGGCGGTCCACTAGTCAGGGGTAAATTAGATTTCATATAAACATTGCACTTTTAGCTAATGTTGCTTTCTCTACAATTTTACAAATTTCGATAAGCATAATTTCTGCATAGTGCAATACATTTTTACCATATTGTTTAAATTGTAAATTCGAATTTAATCTGAATACCTGTCTCAATTGAATTTTGGTCATGCGACAAGTATCAATGGCAAACATAAGGGTCACATTTAACGCGATGTATAAATATAAAATTATAATTTTACTAAATCGTTTTGAAAACTATCTAATAGTTATTTTAATGCAATTTTAAAATTATTTATTTATGTAAAATGTAATTTACAATCTAGCTTTTTAGTTAAAACTAAAAATAAACTAGTGGGGTGTATGGCATCGTGCCTTAAGGCAAATTGCTGGAACTTCCCGTACCGTTACGAAATGTTCGAGGAATACTGAATGTTTTCAAATAGATTATTATAAATATTGTAACATTATGTAATATTTATAATAATTATCTAAACTGAATTGCAAATTTAAAATTATTTGTTTAAGTTATATTAGAACTTTAGTCAGAATAAAAATAAAATCTGAATTATTTTCGATATACAAAATAAACTAAAAAAAAAAAACAATATCAATTATTTTGTTAAGGCAAGCAGAAAGTTCTTTGAATCATTTAAATCGGACGCTTAGTTCTCTCAAAAACTGCCATTTTTTACATATTTAGCTCCGTATCTTCGAAATGGCTGGGCGTGCCTTTGCCAAAAACTAATCACCTCTTCTCCCAATCATTACTAATTGAATGTTTTTTAAATCATTCAAATCGGATACTCCGTTCTCTCAAAAAGTTGATTTCTATTTTCTGCACTTTTTGCTCCGTATCTCCGAAACGGATGGGCCTGCCTTCGCCAAAAACTAATCAGCTCTTTTCCCTATCAATATGAATCGAATGTTTTTTGAACCATTCAAATCGGTTGATCCGTGCGCCCGAAAACGTGACTGGAAATTTGTATCCATACATACATACATACACACACACACATCCATTTTTTGTGAGGTATGCCAAAATGTTCAGAAACCTTCAAAACGTCGAGAAATGTAAAAATTTTCAATGCCGATTTTCGGCCCATTACAATAACTTACCCTACGGGAAGTTAAAAAATAAAAAAACTGAAACAATTGAGATTGAAAAGTTATAAAAAGTAAAAAGTATTTACAATTTGCTAATCTTATGACGATGTTAATTATGAGAGTATGGTAATGCACTACACTATGTAATATAAACATTAAAGTAATTATAACAATAATTCACAATTATACTAACATTAAATTATAACAGAAAGTAGGTGTACAGTAGACGTGTTATCCGTACACTATTTGGAGACATAATGAAGAAAGGATTTTTTAAAAGAAATATTTTTACCAAGATTCTAACATGTGGGGAACTAATTGTGAGTTTTTTGCGCATTAAAAATTAATCTGGAAAATTTTATAATAAAAATAACTAACTGTGGGTGTGGATTATGTAGTATATAAGTGATACGGGCATCTAACACAAATTATATAAATGGTTTCGCACTGCAAAAATGGACACTGCTTGACGTAAATGTTTCTGGAGCACCCTTTGCACTTCGGGCACCCGGGTGTCAATTACAATTGTAATTAGTCATTACAAATGCCATCAGTTTTGATTTATTATTACCACGATTTTCATTTATTCATTGTGTTTTAAAATAAAGAGCAAACTAGCTGTAAGTGGAATTCTGTCTTGAGGCAATTATGGCATCGTGCCTTAAGGCAAATTGCTAGAACTTCCCGTACCGTAAAAATGTTCGAGGATTACTGAATGTTTTCTAATAGATTATTATAAATATTGTAACATTGTCTAATATTTATAAGAATTATATAAACTGAATTGCAGAGTTGAAATTATTTGTAAACTATATTAGAACTATAGACAGAATTAAAAATAAAATCTGAAATATTTTCGATATACAAAAAACTAAAAAAAAAAAAAAAAATAGAACAAAAATTTTTTTTCCAAAATCAATTATTTTGTTAAGACAAGCAGAAAGTTCTTTGAATCATTTAAATCGGACGCTTAGTTCTCTCGAAAACTGCCATTTCTTACATATTTAGCTCCGTATCTTCAAAATGGCTGGGCCTGCCTTTGCCAAAAACTAATAAACACTTCTCCCAATCATTACTAATTGAATGTTTTTTAGATCATTCAAATCGGATACTCCGTTCTCTCAAAAATTCGATTTCTATTTTCTGCACTCTTTGCTCCGTATCTCCGAAACGGCTGGACCTGCCTTTGCCAAAACTAATCAGCTCTTTTTGTATCAGGAAATTTGTATCCATACATACATACACACACACACACATACACACACACATCCATTTTTTTCTGGGTATGCCAAAACGTTCAGAACCTTCAAAACGCCGAGAAATGTAAAAATTTTCAATTCCGATTTTCGGCCCATTACAATAACTTACCCTACGGGAAGTTAAAAATTACGAATATTCATTCTTGAATTATGTCGTGGCATGGCTAGCGAATTGAATAGGACTTCTAAAATTCTGTGGCAAAATTACAGCTTTGCCATAGGTTTATTGTACCTATTTCCCTTTCAAACACTCTGTTTATCTTCATATTTAAAATTTCAATTTCTACATTTTTTTGATAATATTTCTGCAAGTCATTAATGAACGTGCGTGTGTACATTGGGAAATACGAATTAATGATTATGCAAAAATTGATCTATTTTAAAAATTTGTCGCATCTAATTTTATCGTCGCTAATATCTAAGAATTGTTTTGAAAATGTTTCAGTGGACAGGTCAGGAAAAATGTAAGTTTTTCCATAAGCTTAGAAATTACTTGATCAACTAGTTATCAAGCTGAACAAAAGAATTGGACTACTCACATGACTACTATGAAATAGAGATTTGTGGTAGGAAGGCAAACATTTGGGGTTGTATGTATTGTTCAATTCCGCATTAAAAGAATTAAAATAAAGAAAATTGATTCCAAAATTTAAAAAAAAAGGATTATGGTTGGCCAATCGTATAAAAATAAATAAACTTAGGCTTTTCTATAAATTTAAGAAAATAAGAATTAAAAATCAGTGAAAAACATTAACTGACTGAAAGCAGGGTGAAAAATAATACGATTACTTATATATATACAAAATAAGGGGTTTGTGATAGAAGGATGAAAATTTAAGACTTATATAATTGCGAATTATAAAAAATTATAAAAATACCCAGAAACTAAAAAAAAAACTTAAGTGACCAACCGTTATCACTTAGGTATGAAAAATAGATGTTGTCCGATTCTCAGCTATACTGATTCAGTATTACTGAGCATTGTTATAAAATTTTATAAAAATTAGTCAAACTCTTTTAATGGAGTATTGCGACGAACAACATGACACGAGAATTTAATATATGTATGTATAAATGTGTGTGGAGTATTATTAATAATATAAGCAAACAATAAAAACGAATATAAGCAATATAGAATAAATTTATTTAAAAAGGTTAATTGATACGTTTAGTAAATTGAAAATAAAAACTTTTACATATCTTCACGTTTTAAAAGTTTCTGAACATTTTGACATACCTAAGAAAAAATGGATGTGTGTGTGTATGCATGGAGACAATTTTTCGTCGACGATTTCGGATGGATGAAACAATTTGAAAACTCAAAAAGCAATCGATTCCTATTGATAGAGATATTAGTTTTTGACAAAGACGAAATATACAAGTTTTGGCAGTTTTTGAGATAATTAAGCATCCGATTTGAATGATTTAAATATCTTTCCGCTTGTGTTGACAAAACGATTGCTTTTGGGGATTTTTTTTTAATTTCCATATTTTTCTTTGAATATTGAATATAATTCGGATTTAAATTCTAGCTAAAGCTCTAAAGCTCACTTATATACTTCAAATAAATAATTTTAACTTTGCAGTTCAGTCTATATAATTCTTATAAATATTATCCAATGTCCTTTATTTTAAATCCGATTGATCAAGTTTCAAACGTCGTCGATCAATTTATAAGCTCTTATATTTTGTCTATAAATTACGAGTAATGAACGAAGTTACAGTACTTGTAAAAATCTATTAGAAAACATTTAATATTCCTTGAGACATGATGCCATACACCACTAGTTAATTGATACTATGCAGAACTTTTATAAACCTCGCTACAGAATATCTTACTCTCATAACTTATAATGAACATTAATTTCTACACTATCAAATGATATTTTAAAATAATGCGTTTTATTACATGCATAAGTGTGTTTAAAACTATAAAATAAAATAAACCAGTCATTATCTAGATGGCTATCAGGACGCTTAGGATGTCATCGAACCCCAGGGCGCCTATCCCTTATTCTGGAGATATCGACTGCATGTATACTTCATATAAATTACTTAATTGGTCTCTAATTTAGACACAAAATTATGTGTGATTACTAAATAAATGTGAAGACAAGTAATAACAGTTAAATATATTGACCCCGAAAAATTGATACCTACCTCATAGATAAAATTATGCATAGGATAGAGCGGGGCACAAAGGACC